CTGAATGTCAACTTGATACCCCAAGTAGAAAATTCTACACTACAAAACTTTGTCTCATGCACAAAATTATTAAAAATTAACTTCAGGCTTCCTGTATAAGGTGTTTACAACACAAAATGTATTTCATGTTTAGATTTGGGACCCATCTCCAAAATAGCTCATTATTTATATACCAATATTCCAAAATCCAAAATACTTCTAGTCCCAAGCATTTCAGACAAGAGATATTCCTGTCCTGCAATCTCATTTAGTTATCATCTAATAAACACTACTTTGTCAAAGTTGCTACTGACCTCTTAGCACTCAACACAAAAAGAAATTGGAGTCCTTAATTTGCTTAATTTCTCTGTAGCATTCCATACCACTTACTTCTGCATTCTTTTTATTCTTCTCTCCTATTAACTTCTGGGATCCTGCTTTGCCTGGTTTCTCTAGCTGCTCACTTTAGTCTTATCCCCTCAGTCTTCCTTCTTGACTTTGCTTCCCTAATTTTTGAGGTTCTTTTGGGTTCCTACCTCCCATCCCTTTTTTTTTTTTTTTTTTGGCTTATCTGCATACTTTCTCTACAGGAGTATCTCCATACTTCTCCATATCCAACCACACTCACCTGTGAGTGTACATCTAGTCCAGATCTCTCTCTCTCCAGTCACTAAACAAGCTGTCCTTGCTATTTCCTCTTGGCTGAAGGCATGGTTCAAGTGGTAGAGTGTATGCCTAGCAAGCACAAGATCCTAGTTCAAACTGCAGTACCACCAATAAATAAATAAATAAATCTCCAACTCAGCATTCAAAAGCTGACCTTATCTCTTCCACTTCCAGCCCCATAGCCCATTTCTACTCTCAATACTACCCAGTAGGTTACTAAAGAGTGTCATCCTTAATTTCTTACCTTTCATCTAGTCAATTCTTAGTTATGATCCAGGCCACTTCTGTAGTAATTTATCACTTCTCCTCTTAATTACTGTCAGAGCTTCCTAGGTCTTCCTGCCTCTGTCTTGGCCAATTCAAGGCCATTCTCCACAATTCTGACAATGCTCAGTATTGTCAGAATGGGTTATCCCTCTTAACGTTTTTATGAACTTCTTTTATCTTTGGGCAGTACTGGGGTTTGAGCTCAGGGCCTCACCCTTGCTAAGCAGGCACTCCACCACTTGAAACACTCCCCCCAGCCCTTTTTTGTGATGGGTACTTTTGAGATAGGGTCTTATTAATCATTTGCCTGGGGCTGGCTTCAAATATTGATCCTCCTCATCTATGCATCCTGAGAAGCTAGGATTATAGGCGTGAACCACTGATGTCCAGCCATGAACAAACTTCTTGGGATAGCATACTAAGCCTTCGTATTTGTCCTGTACATCCTTCTAACCCCATCACAGCAGTCACCAGGCTCTACTGGGAACCAGGCAGGCTCACCTATATTTCTCCCTCTGCTCAAACTACTTCTGCTTGGAATGCTCTTTCCCCTTACTAATCAATACTGATCCTTCAAGAATGAACTCTGCTACTTCATATTCTTGGAAGGCTTTTTTTTTTTTTTTTTCCTGTGGCGGTACTAGGGTTTGAACTCAAGGCCTATACCTTGAGCCACTCCACCAGCCTTTTTAGTAATGGGTTTTTTTCAAGATAAGGTCTTGTGGAACTATTTGCCTAGGCTAGCTTTGAACTGCCATCCTGATCTCTATCTAGGATTATAGATGTGAGCCACCAGCTCTTGGAGGACTTTGCTAATATTCCTACCTCACCTGTCAGCAGATGTTCCTCCTTTCTTCTATAGTCAAAACACTCATCAAACTCACTGGTCACTGTAGTTAATGTTCTGTCCTCTTCACTGGATTGGGTGCCTTTTCAGGAAACTTTTGGTTTGTTTCATGTGTTTTTAGTCTTACTATGTAGCCCAGGCTGGCCCTGAACTCCCAATCCTCCTGCCCCAGCCTCCCTATGCTGGAATTACAGCCTGCATCACCACACCCATAGGAATTTTTTTTAAATATAAAAAACATAGGCTCTCCCTATGCTACTCAATTGGTCTCCAACTGCTGGGATCAAGCAATTCTGCTTCAGCCTCCTAAGTAGCTGGGACTATGGGCACCTGAATCACTGTTAATGTCAAAAAACTAATTGTTACCACTGCCAACTGTTCTGCAAAGTACCTAGTCTATAGCAAGTATCCACTAAATGCTTATACAATTAGTCACTGTGTGCATAATGTAGTTTTTTTGTGTCCATTTTATCTCCGTTTTGAAGTAACTTCCCAAGGTTGGAAAGATGTCTTTATATATTTTTCCATCCCCAAAGCACAGCATACACAGTACCTAATTTACAGCAGGTGCTCAACAAACATTCACTGCTTTTAAGTAAACCTTAACCCACATTCTGACATTCAAAATCTACGCTTGCTCCAGTTGAGTCGGATGGGGCATCTTATGAAAAAAATCCCACGTGGAGTCATTCTCTCTTGAGAAACAAGTGGGGTCATCGGCTCCAGAGGTGTTTGGGAGCGCGTGGGGGTCGGAGGACGGCTGGGGAGCTCCAAACAGGGCGATAGTGTGGTAGGTAAGACCTCCAAAAGAGAACGTTCTCATTTCTCCCCATCTCTCTCTCGCTACCATATGCTCTTCCTCGTCCTAGTCCGGTCCCACTAAAGCTCGAGTGCAACACCCAAGGCACTTTTCCTTCCCCACCTTCAACCCGCTCTTGCTGGGGCAAACCCTTCCACGCCCCAAGGCACACATGCGCAGTGACCCCACCACGGGCCTGGTCGGTCAGGGCCCCGTGACTCTCTCCTAAGGCCCGCGCACTCTCCTGTCTTTTCTCGATTCTCTCCGGGCCCGCCACCCTCACCTGCGGTGCTCGTGCTCTCTCCGTCCCCGATCCACTCAGGCTCCGGCGGCTGCTGCTTGGGCCCCTTCGGCATCGCGCTGGCGGTTACGGATACTCTGGCGGCGCGGGATGCTACTTCCGCTTCCGGTGGCGTGGAGGCCCGAAGGGGCGGGCTCTCCATGCCGCCGGAGTCCCCGCCCCTATCCCGAGACAACCCACGCGCGCGCCGCGCCCTCCCCTAGGGGGCTTGACCTCCGCCCGCTGGGGGCGGGGCCTGCAGCGATGGGGCGGTGTCTACCTGTTCCCGTAGCGTCAGCACGGCGTTTATGACCCTCCGGGAAGCCTGACCTAGTGACTCCACGACGCTTTGGGACTCAAGAAATGAACATAATTTATGCTTAGTACGAAGTAGTTGAGGCATAGCTTTTTTGTGTGTGTGGTGGTTACTGGGGTTTGAACACAAAACCCGTGTTTGCTAGGCAGGTGCTCTACCATTTGAGCCCTGCAAGCCCCAAGCCCATAACTTTTTTTTTTTAAGGAGCGTAGCTGAAAGTGGTTAAGAGTGCTTGCCTGACAAGTGTGGGGTCCTACTTCAATCCCCAAGTACTGAGCCAAAAGCCTTGTTATAGTTGGGCCCGATGGAGGCAGTCCATGGGACGAGATCGTGCAGGCAAAAGCGATACCCTATCTGAAAAATAAACTAAAGCAAAAATGGCTGGGGTCAAGGCTTAAGTGAATGCACTTTCCATCTCCTCCTTATGACTGATCTGGGGCAGAAAAGTACAGTCTGTCAACTAAGGAAGTGACCTTGTCGGTCCAATGTTGATATGTTTCACAAAATTCTAAAGCATACAGTTGTAAAGGAGGAACTGTAGCCCAACAAGCAGAAATCATGGTGCCATGAAGCGTGGGTTCACTTTTTTTTTTTTTTTTTTT